CACTGCTGAATAAAGCTTTCCTGCAGCAGCTGACCCGAATTTTGTGTCTAATACAAACCACAAAATTTGTGGTTTCTGTCGAAATAAATAATGCGAAAAACCTGAATCACTGTTTGCAAATTAGCAGTAGTACATCGCAGCCATGAATACTATCAACAGCCTTATCTTCCAACGTGGCTTACTGCGCCTTTTTTAAAACAACTAATCAATCAAAACTCTCCCTACTTTTCACCAGATTCCACACCTTTTTCCTTGGAGAACATTGTAAAATCCAAGTCTTACTGTCATTCCAAAGCCCTAACACTGACGATTATGCTGTTTCCTTCGATAGCTGTCAGTACTGAAATTTCAGAAATCAGTAAGTACAGCGAAATTGGTGAGGCAGTACAATGGAAATACTGTTTTTGAACCTAGAATTCAACGCATGGATAAAAACTTGCCAAATCTTGCTGCCCATACATGGAAAACTACAGTTTTTAACCAAATGAAGAAAAAAGATAAACAAAACTCCTTAGGACTCTGAAATAAAATCTAGGCATAGCTCGTCTAGTTGTTCGCTTTCGAAAGAAACAGGTGTAAAAAACGAAGTCCTTTCTAGAAGTCACCACATGTTGCAAGATCCTTTGCTTCACTATTACGAACTTTCAAACATCAACGCAATTCTTTCAGCACAAACGCACTCTAAGAAAATGTTTACTTCGACAGCGTCAAAAAACTACAAACAAAACAAGTAGAAACCAGCGTTCATAAGAAGCAGATGTATCATTTTTAGAATTAAAGGGGTTTAACCATTTAAAAAGTGTAAATAAAACAGATAAATATTGGAAACGTGGGTACACTGAAGAGACATGAACTTTCATCAATAAACAACCAAACATTCGTCTGCTCCTTAAAGGATTTCGTAGCCCGTTTCAATTCCGCCACGTAGAATATATTTGTAAAGTAAAAAGCAAAAATGCTGTCTCCAATTGCAGTTCATAACTTCATTGTAACACCAACAATAACGAAAAAACCAACAACTATATCAGGCATAGGTACAAAAAATGACCGCTAAAATTTCTGTCGTTCAAAAAACTTCCATCACTTGACAAACAAAGTCATAAAAACTTTTATAGTACCGTTTTTGCTCCAATCAGTTTTGGATGCAATGATCAAAATAATTTTCAAAATTGTGCCAAAAAAAAAAATTTACTTGTGAAACATAAACAATAGCGAGGGAACTCATAAGTATGTAAGAACTGACCAGTACACCAATAACAAAAGTTGAAGAAATAATCCAGCGACAGCTTACTTTCCTCGTAAACAATTGAGAACTGTACCAGCAATCTCGCTATCCAAACTGTCGCCAACTAAAACTTCTCAACCTAAATGCTTGTTATTTTTTTATTATAGTTTATCTAGTTTGAAGCGAACCAATATTTTGACAAAAACAACACTTGGCTATAGACTGACAAGTGCTATACAATTCTTCAAACACTGCCACAAAAAATCCATCTACGCGTCAGGAAGAATTTTGAATATCTTTTTACTAGGAACCGTTTAAGCACAAATCTGACCGCCATCCAGTGTTAAATTCATTGTTCTTACTGAAATTTATACAATAACTCATAAATTTGTATAGCCTAATCAAAACCATAAAATTTTAGGGAACAGCAACTTCAGACATTCAAAAAAAAAACGCAAAGATCAATGACAAGGAAGCAGGAGAACTTCCACTGATGTCATCCATTCAAGAGAATGAAGAAAAAAAAGAAACAGAAAGAGCAACAACAACAACAAAACAACAACAGTAAATGTAAATAAAAATTGAAGTTTAAAGAATTACTGCATCCAAAAC